AAAAAAAAAAAAAAAAAAAAAAAATGTGGAGGTGCTCAATTCATGAATTGTTTGGAAAAATAAACTGTAATTTTATGATGCCGCAGTTAACCTTTTAATGATTTACGTAATAATATGTACGGAGAATATTCATGAAGGAATAGTCGCTTTCCTGAACTGGGAAAATATACTCCCAACACCAGAATCTCCTGTGTCCAGTGATGGAGAAAGTGACTAAGACAGATGCCTGGATTTCATCTCCAGCACCAAGGAGAGGGAGAGAGGGGGAGATGGGAGAGAGAGAGAGAACAGAGACCACTCTGAACTAAAAGACACAAGGGCTGGGGATTTAGCTCAGTGATGTCGCCGCCTGCCTTGCAAGCACAAGGTCCTGAGTTTGATTCCCAGTACTGCAAAAAAAAGACACAAGCAACTGCAATATATAAGCTTTGAATGATTCTTAGATACAAAAATATACAAAGCATATAGAGGCATAATGTGTAGAATTCCAGTGTTTCACAGAGGAGATGTTAGATGACTTCAATATTTTAAATTTTCTCAAGTGAAATAATACTATGGTTTAGTTGGACATGTTTAGGTGTATTACCCGGTAACCAAAGGGGAAGTAAATGTATGCTCAACTTACACACACGTGATGGTTCATCATGAAATGTATTTTATTACCCGAAAAGTGACAAACTTGGACAATGCTTAAAATGAATAAATCAGTGCATGCCTGTATCTTAGCACTCTGGGAGGCTAAGGCAGGTGGATTGTAAATTTCAGCCCAACCTGGGGAATCTAGCAACCTAGTGAGATCCTGACTCAAAATTTAAACAAAAGCAGTGTCAGTGGGTCACTGCGAAGTGCTGCGTTCAATCCCTAGTACAAACAAACAACAAATATCTATAAAAGATCTACTTTACTTATCTAAGATGCTACTCTCTAAAAATGTTCATTGTATTGGGTGGGTTTTCCTTGGACCAGATGGTTCAATTTTAATTGAAACAAAGATGGGAAAAAAATACTCTTGATTCGAATGTTAATAACAAGTACCAATGATTCTGGTACTACTGTAGTAAAACTTCCGTCCTGTCTTCCAGGAGACCTGTTTTGAAGCTCTGAGGGATGTACAGGCCGAGGACCCCCCAGATGAAGAGAAGAGCTGAACATTCGGATAGAAAGACTTGCGGCTCCACCTTTTCACCTGGATTCAGAACTATGAATGCCCTAGAGGTCTAAGAATGAACGTTATCTTTCTACTGGAATGCTGTGTAGCAAAAGAAAAGGAAATCACCGCAGCGTGCACCTGTCATCCCAGTAATCTGGGAGGCTGAAGCAGGAGGATGGCAATCTGAAACTCAGGCTGGGCAGTTCTGTGAGACTCAGTCTCAAAAAAAAAGTTAAAAAAAAATATATATATATATAAAGCGGGGGGAGGGCTGGGGTGTAGCTCAGTGCCACAAAATCACAAGAACAATGATTAGAAGGGAAAGGGAAAGGAAGAAGCGGCTTTCTGACACCGCAGCTCACCTGAGCTCCGCGGAATCGGCAAATCGGCGAGGAGGCGAGCGACTGAGGCTGGAGACAACGTCAGTAAACGGCGGAAAGTCAGTTCCTCCTGGGACAGAAGCGGAGAGCTGCTCAGAGCACAGCGCCGAGGCATCCGGCCGCGCCCCG